GGATATGAAAGGTAAGCGAACTGTTTCACTTCTGCACCCTAGCAAAGGATTGGAGTGTTTACCGTTTTGTGTTTACACCTCTACTCCACTTCATTTCAAAGGGAAGTCTTGTTGGCAACTTTTTAATCCTTTATTTATATGACTGTACTAGTTTGTCCACAAGATGTATTCAGAGTTTATAGAGCTTAAGATTGCAGGTCAAAGAGAATTAAAGCTGAGGTGCTTCACTGATTGATTACACATGAATTCAAAATGATCTCTTTCTCTTTTTTGTGTTTAAGACTTTTATCCTTAGTTTTTTGGATGTGCAATTTGGGGATTTGGCTTGCTTGTTAGACAAAGTATCCCTGCAATGGTCTCGCTTTGTTATCTAAAACCATTTTCTGAAGTTTTACAATCCAAGCAATCAGTTAATTGAGAATAGATTAGACTGTAATGAAAATTATCATTAGCTGCAGCGTGATCTGCAACAGATGGGCTCTATTATCATCAGTAACAAAAACAAAATGCTGGTTTTATTTTAAAGTGTGAGTTAAAAAATGATATGAGTACTTTCAATTTTTATATTCAGACTTTTAATGTATTTTTAATGTTTTTTCAGTGTATCTTTTGTACTTTTGCCCATGTAAATATCTGAAAACGTTACCTTACAGTTATACATTTTCAAATGGCTTCAAAAAACAGTACGTCAACGTAAAGACGTGCAGTAGAGATCATTTCAGAAGTGTATCCATGCAAACCAATCTGATTATCGATCGATATAACTAACTTGTCCGTATCAGAAGGAACTTTTGATCCAAAGGAGCGTGATCGGGTCCGAATGTCCTGTTTGGCATGTTTACATGAAGCATTTTTAGTCCTGTCTGACTTTTAATCTGGTTACTTGCCCTAAAATGACACTTAGACTGACCAACATTTTCAAAATGGACAAAGTGGAGTCATATAGAATAAATGATGTCTGAGGCAATAAACTCATTAGAAAGGGGTTGACTGAAGGCCATCGTCCCATAAGTAAGTCCTATTGGAATGAAAGTGTTTGCATCCCCGGGCCTTTAAAAAAACGTAAATTTAAGGCACTTCTTAGCTTTACTTTTCAGACCCAAAAGTTACATCTGCCTTTTAAACTGTCTATAATCCCCACAGGGAAGTACCCACATGTAGATCAAAATAAAAGCACTATTTAGCTATTCACTGAGCAATGGAGGCTAGTAATACTGAGCCTTGAATATCAAAAACAAAGAAAAACAGGGACAAGCTGAAAGACCAAATGCACTGACAGGGGCTATATAACAGAAAAATGGGATTTTCAGTGTCTGTGAAACCATCCTTCACCACATCAGCTTTCATTATGACTTTCACTCTTGTGGTCACAGTTTAGTCCACTCTCATTTAAAACATTTTGCTGCTGGCCCCCTGTCACAGAATCCAAATTAACACTTGGCTAAAAGGAGGCACCAACAGGGACATATCGGTTCCCTGCTGTGAAAGTGTTGGACTCCAGCATCAGGATTAAAAGCAATGATTGAATTAGTCACCATCGCAGAGGGAGGCAGGGTTATGAGGAGGAGTGGAGGGGGGCAAGCCACAGTCATACGATCGTGTTCAACTGGCAAAATTTTCTGCTCTCTGACAGAAGCATCGCTGATTATTTATCTGTCTCCGTCCTTGCTAGTCTGTAAATGTATTGTGTAGGATGTTTCTCAGTGAGCTGCTGCATCAGCTAGACAATCCTCAAGTACGGAATAGTTTCTCTTCTCTGCACAAATGCAAAAATAGTCTTAAATCCTGGATTTCTGGCTAATGAGGCTTTTGGTTTGCAGTAATAAAAGCACTCATCTCAGCCTTTAGAACTGGAGTACTTCACTTCCCGATACAGCACAAGAACACACTTGATGACTCACATATCCTCAGCCTAATGCAGGAAGACAAAACACAAAAAACCCCACAAGCCACTTAAAATCAAGGACCCACGTTAAAATACATCAACCCTGTTTTTCATACTATAGCAGTGAGTGATGAAATAAGGTGTAACGAGACTGTGCTGATTAAGCAGTGCTTGGATTAAGCTCGAGGTCTGATGTTAAAAACATGCCATACATTACAGACCACTGTACTTATTACTGGTCTAGCAGAAAGAGACGCAGGGTTGGTGATTTTATCCGTCGTTACGACTCGCTAATTACTCAGTTCAGAGAGGACACGTACACGCTGAAAGCGGCACGGCAAGAAAAAAATCACAGCTCTCATTTCCTGGAACAGAGCCAGTGGGGGGTGGGGGTGGGGGGGGGGGTACCACAAAAGTGGGTGGTTGAGGCTGCTGCAATACAATGCAATATCATCCAACAAGTACTTTGTACTACTACTGTTTATCTTGAGATTAACTGTACTTGACGAAAGAAGTGGAGTGGTTTGCCTTTAAAGGTTTTTCTCCTGTAATTGATTATGTGACTGGTTGCTTACAAGATCGCTGTGTTGCTATATAACAACAGTGTTTTTGTCTGAATCTCTAAGGAGAAAACGTCTCACTGGCAATTTGCTTAAAGTTCCTCATTGTGGTTTCATTCAGTCTTAATTAGGAGGTCATATATATCAGAGCTTTGTTTTTGTATATACATTTTAAGGCAAAGCTAACAGCAGAGATAGTAGAAGAGAACTTCAAGGAAAAATCTCATAACAGTAAAACCTCACTTGTAATCCATGATTTTCTTACCTGCTGACAATCAAGCTTTTACTTCTTGGTTAAGATCATCGTGCACTCTGCTCGTGCATCACTCTTGGTTAGGCTGTTGTGAGAAAGTAAGGTGTTATACTACTCGTTACATTACTTTTGCATTTCTCTGTAAACTTACCTGAAACACATTGTCTCATAATTACCAAGACAACGTGATTCGTATTACAGTCCAACACAAATCCCTATCCCAATGAGGACACATATGATATTTGTCTTAGTATTTGGGTATGAACACAAAGCCGACAACACAAAGCAAAGATGAAAACCAGCACAAAGAGACTATAACGTTGCTGTCACAGTGATTCTACTTTAGAAATATGAACAGGTAGAAACAGAGGATGCAGTCTGACTGCTCATCCGTTTGTTACCTGTTGAAATTCAGGTTCTGGCTGTTTGGTTGGGGTCTGCATTCAATCAGCTTTATCATCACTCTGGGCTCTTTGCCTGCTTAGCATTAGCATGCTGTCTGTGCAGATGCTTGCAAAGAGCAAGACGTTGTTGTAGTTGTAGGCGTTTCTGTCATTTCTTTCCTATCTCCTGCTTACTTGGCTGATTGTTATGCAAGAAAATGTCTTCAGTCAGCTGTTGCCATTTTTTTTTATTAGTAGCTGTGATTTGAAAGCAGTAATGTTTCACAGGACTGGACAGGAGACTGATTGGAGGGTAGCAAGTTTTAATCTGGTCCTACGTGTCTTGCTAAAGAGATAGGTTGACTTCTTCACTTTCTATAAAAATCCTTGTGTGTCACTGCATGGTAAATAGTTACACCCAATATTGTTAGTGACACTAGTAGGTTATTTCAAGCTAAATGCTAACAGCTGCATAGTGCTAAAGTGCTAATATTAAGCAAGTGTGTCTTTGATTCACCCTGGCATGTGGTTAATATGTTGGATCAACACCACCACAAACAAGAGTAACCCACAGATGGGTTGTTTGTGACACTGACCCCTGGTGACAGCAAACAGTTACAACGTGTCTGTTTTAGAAGGACAGCAGAAGCATTTCGGAGTCCTAATGGGCTGAACATTGGCAGTGCGTTGGTAGACCGTGGGGTGCTGCAGACTGCTCCTGCAGAGAGCGCCTGTTGCCAGATGGAGGCAGTGCCAAAGGTATGAGGTACAACTGGAAGGTGGGCCACTCTTGCTTGTGTTTTAGGTGGTCCACCACCCAGAGTGAAATGATAAACTGCAAAAAGTTGAAACAATAAAACGTGTCCAGTGCAGCCCCTGTTTCTCGTGTTCCTGGTGAACTCCACTGTTGCTCCATTCCTTGTTCCGGCCCACTCATCAATCAATCATCATTCGACCAATGCACAGTCAAACTATGTGGGTTTTTGGACGAACACATTTGCATAGACAAATAACTATGCAAATGGACACAACTGTGGGAACATCTTACAGCTAAAATATAGCAAAAACTAACATTCTGGACCAGTTTAAATCTTAATACACTGACAGGAAAAAAGATTAGAGATTAGCAAAGTAGTTATGATTCATCGTGTGAGGGACATGAACATCAACGGCAAAGCAGTCATGCCAACACGCACGTCACAATTATCGATCACCGAGGTACATCCAAGACATTCACATTTGCCTTCTGCAGACTGTAGGTTCTTTAACATTTTTTTGGTTGTTTTTTTTTTTCAAAATTGCAAAAAGTATTTAAGAAAAAGCTGTTGCACAAATCAAAACAAAAGCTTTTTCGTCTTTTCTGATGGAAAAACCCAAAATTTCATATTTTTACAGCCTTTTTTTCTTGTTTCCAGATGTGCACCTCGCCAGTTGCTGCCGATTCTACTAATGAAAAAGAGTGTTTGTTTTATCTTTGATTTGAAATGAGTGGAAACGGGAGCACACCCACACACACACATACACCACACATACCTGTACTCAGCTCGCAGGCTTTAGGGTCAAAGCAATCTCACCTTTAATTTTCTCACTGGTGCAATATCTGTGAAAGCAATATAATGCAGGATCACAAGGCAGGTAGTGTCTGTGCAGGCTAGGTTCATGAAAGTGTGTATCACGGTGTCGAGAGTAAGATGAGAAGAAAAGATGAAAACAAGTTGAATTGGAGGAGAAAGATAAAGCATGTAGTGATGGATGGACGCGAGAAGATACTCCAGGGATAAAGAGAGATGGAGAGAGAGAGAGAGACAGAGAGAGACAGAGAGAGAGAGAGAGAGAGAGAGAGCGAGAGGCGGGCTGAACACCAGCCATCAAATACGGGAAGCCGAGCCAGTTGTGACGCACTAAGGCACCAAGGCGGTCAAGATAAAGTGTCAGAAAAAAGTCCAGGATGCAGAGAAACATGACAATCACCCATCTTCCCTCATTTCTTCAGCTCTTGCGAATCCTGTAGATAAGAAGAGTATAAAGACCACAAACTGCAGGTGAGTGTTTGTCCTTTTTGTTTGTACCTCATTTGAAGTTATCTTAACAACTCCGCTGCCTGTTACAACGATATAGAAATCCCCGTGGGGGAATCCAAACACAGCCTAAACACATCTAAACAGCCTCCCTGGCGTCTGTATTCTGCTGAACATAAATTTCTAACAGGGCAATATTGTGACAGTGCTGTTAATCGTAAAATCAATGTTTGTCGAGAGGACCAGAGAGGATATTAAACATATTAAAGATAATTAGAAAGCATGTGCTGAACATTCTTATCATATCAGGGATTCAGTGAACTGATTGGGCTGCTGCTAGTTTCTATAGATGAAAGCCAACAACTGTCTTTTCTTTATGTAGAGATACAAAACACATAGGATGCAAACATCCAATCAAAGTTATATTAATATTAAAAAGTAACTGAGCTTACTTCTTTCTTTTGTACTTGAACCTAAGCTTCTTCTTCTTTTTTAAATCAGAGGCTTGAAATTTTATCATGTCAAGGTTGGACATTACAGTAGCCAAGGACAAGGTATGCCTACATTTATTCTCCAGCAACAGCTGCCTGGGCTGAAGCCAACCTGTAATGCCATGAGACTAGTTTGGGGGGATTGTTTTTAAATTAGATGTCTTAATTATACTGAAGTCTAAAATTACATGTGATTATGCCTGAGTGAGCGACAGGCAGCTATCATCTAGCTATCTGCTTGGTGTCACCTCAGTTAATTGAAGTCGCTGACAGATAATAGGGTTCACAGTGCAGTTGTGCTGTCGAAGAGATAGTTAAAGAAAGTCTGCACTCCAACTTCAGTGAGGGAATTTCTGCTATTATTCTATTTACATCTGTTACTAATGTGCCACACTATGAACGCAGCTAATATTAGCTGATGACATGTAGTTCTTGGCCAAAACTGCAGCGCACTGACTGATACATGATATCATGAGGGCTACGTCTTATATATAAAGCTAATTGCCAAGCTTCAAACAGCAGGATCCTATAGTTCTCAAGATACAAAGGAGCAGCATCTTCAGTATCATTTCCCTGCCTCATAGATGAATGTATTATTTAACTTCAACAACCGTTAATTACGAACTGTTTGCATTTTTAATTCAGATTTTTTAAAAATCACAACACTAGTTGATCCCATCAGATGTTAAATATCAAACTTCCTACTTTCTACTTTTACAGATTCCTGACTGGCTCCATAGTGTAGCGGATAATGCGCTCACCTAACATATAAAAGATCCTTTTAGAACAGAAGGAGCTACAAATCTCTGGGAGGGTTGTGTCAGGAAGGGCATCTGGTGTAACAATATGTCAAATCAAATATGCAGATCCATCTGCTTTGTCGAACCACGTTGTGAATAAGGCTGCAGCTTAAAGAGCCTTCACCCTTTTCTGACGCATGAGTGTTTAAGGAATCCTTTAAAATTCACACTGTCTCCTTTTTCTTTTTCCATCAGGTTTATATTAGTTGAGGAACCTGCTGTCCAGTCACCACGATGCCGATACCCAACTGCACCTTCAACTCTCTTGCAGCCATTTTAACTGGTGACAGAGAACTCAGTGACTTAGGATGCCCCGATTCTGCTGTGGTGTGTGGAATGAATATCTCCTGGGTGTTGACGAACGCCACTCAAGAAGATCTGGAAGAAAAGCTTTGCTTGACTGAGGACAAGTACCTATCCAAAAATCTGGGGGAATCAAAATCCCCCATGTTTCTCCCTGTCTGTGTCACTTACCTCACCATCTTCATCGTGGGTGTCCTGGGCAATTCCCTGACCTGTTCGGTCATTTTACGCTACAGGGTGATGCAAACGCCAACCAATTACTACTTGCTGAGCCTGGCTGCGTCCGACCTGCTGGTGCTGCTTCTGGGGATGCCGTTAGAGATCTACGAGATGTGGCAGAACTACCCCTTCCTGCTCGGAGAAGGGGGATGCTATTTTAAAACCTTCCTATTTGAAACTGTCTGCTTTGCTTCCATCCTCAATGTCACTGCGCTCAGCGTGGAGCGCTACGTGGCGGTGGTGCACCCCCTCAAAGTCAAGCATTTGACCACACGTGCTCACGTTAAGAGGGTCATCCTCATGTTGTGGGGGCTGTCCATGCTGTGCGCTTTGCCAAACACCAGTCTGCATGGGATCGAAGTGCTGCCGCCACAGTTTGGTCGACAGTTTCCCCGATCTGCTATCTGCCGTATGTACAGAATTTATATTTTAGTTTTACTTTATACGGTCTGCAGATATGCTAGAAGCTCTCTGGTAATGTAAGCGTGTTCACCTGCTGATTTAAAGCAGGTATAGGGGTTACTCTTTACCACTCAGTACAGTAAGATGTCAAAAACCAATGGTTTTCATTCATAAACCAAAGTGTTGGGCTTGGTGATGGTGCTCGATAGAAAAAGCGAACCTTCCTGAGCTGCACATAGATAACTGGATGCCATCTGTAACAGTGATTAATCATTTAATCACTGTTGAAACACTTTACTCAAGTCCTGAGCAATATCAGTAAATCTTGTCTGGGATCACTACTGTAAAGTTCGTCCCAGTACACTGAATACAGTACGTGATACTACACTTTGGTAGCAGCAGTATTAACCTGGCTTGCCAGATTATGAGACCACAAATCCCTAGGGGGTTGTGTCAGGAAGGGTATCTGGCATATAACTGCTAAATCAAATATGGAGAACAACCTGCTGTTATGACCCTTTATGACTAAGAGAGCAGCTGAAAGTAGCTTTAATATTGCAAGAGGCAATCTACGTTATAGCTCTTGCAAAATTTCAGTCTGGAACAAAGTAGTGGTTTTTCTAACAGACTGTTACCAGACATTTTCATGGTTATAGTTTGGGTAAAAAAACAAAACAAAACCCAGAAACCTGACTGCGTATTGGAAATAATTTACCTGAATTTAAGGAGCAGGACCACACCTCCATACATCTGACCTCCTGAGCACTACAAGCTATTCATTCTTGTTTTCATGTCCCATCCTCCCTCCCTTTTTCAATTAATTCACTTCTCATTAAAACATGGGGATCTGCCTGACCCAGGAGCCGCCGTCAGTCCCCTCTGAGGCCTTTCCCAAACCGCACCTTCAATTTATGCTCAGACCATCTGCTATTATCTTCTAGAAACACTGTCAAACCTAAATGAGGATGTGGTCCCAGCTAGCAAATTAACAGTTAAAAGTAATGGTATACCTGGAATTGTGATCTATAATCATTTTCAAGCATGAGCTCTGGATAATATTCGGGGAATCAAGCTGAAGCATTGTATGAAGTTGCCGTTTTGAATATACAACAGACAGATAGAAGAGAATTTGCTTTAGACGTCTTCTTTCTACTTGAAATAATTTGGCCTAGAGCAAAACGAAGGTAGGACAGGTTCAGACATGTCCACGAGCAACCATTACTTTATGCTAATAGCATTTTACAGACTGCTAATCATATGACATGAACTTGTTGGCCATTTTGGATGTGATAGCCATAGTGACAATGGTGTGATCACCCAAAGTTTGCATGGAAGTGATGCACTGGCCAGCTACTCTCTGAGGTGTAGGTAATCTGCAAAAACGGTGGCACAAACTGAAAATGAAGACCATTTGCCTTCAAAGTAAAAATGATGCATTTTGAAGCATGTTGACTGCAGTGCTGAGGCTCAACCTTTAATCTAAAGGTGAACCTACTCCATTTTCATGTTTGTGTCTCAGTTTTTCAAGTTTTACTCCAGCTTCAGTAGCGGTTAACAAGCGTCTGCAAAGAAAAATGAAAAACTACAGGCAGCAGTTACAATCTGCTAGAAATCAAAGCAATCTCTCAGAGGTCTTTGATGCAGCACCGTCTTTGTCTGGATTTCACCCAGCCAGAGCAAGCAACCTCCAGGAAACACTTCCAACTAGTCGGGAAACAAATATTTTTCCCTAGCAACCAGTACTGTGTACATGATGTCGCATGAGAAACCTTGAAGACAGCTGCCAGGTTAAAGTCTGTGTTAAACATTTTTATTTGCACTGCTCAGATTTATTCTGTTTCTCTTGCTATCCTATCTTATATATATCCTCAGATCTGGTCAAACCCATCTGGATGTACAACTTAATCATCCTGATCTCCACGCTGGTCTTCTTCCTGCTCCCCATGCTGATCATTAGCGTTCTCTACCTGCTCATTGGCTTGAGGCTGCGCAGGGAGAGGGTGCTGACCACGGTGGATACTAACTGTGGCTTCGGTTCTGAAAGTATCTCCAGCTCCCACAATCAGAGGCTGAGCAAACGAAATGTGCAAGTAACCAAAATGCTATGTAGGTGTTATTTTACTATATTTTTATTCTAAATTAAATTGGCAACAACCCTAACCCTACAAAAATCAAGACCCCATAGTCAACACTTCTGAAATGTTTGTGTTTAAATTCATTATTTTAAGATTATTTACAATATTTTGCTTAACTAGTCATCTGCCATTAAAGACTTTACTGGTGTCCCAAAACAAAATTTATGTGCCCCATGAATCACACCCATTGTTCCATCTGCTCTAGGTGTGCTGGTGGTTGTCTTTGGCCTGTGTTGGGCTCCCTTCCACATCGATCGCTTGATGTGGAGCTACATCAACATATCATACGAGCAGCACCGCAGGATCTTCGAGCATGTCCACGTCATCTCTGGAGTTCTCTTCTACCTGAGCTCCGCCGTCAACCCCATCCTCTACAACCTCATGTCCACCAGGTTCAGAGAAATGTTTAGCCACATTACCTGCTACTCTAACAGCTGGAGAGAACACTCGAGGAGCTTCCAGATGACTCCACGCAGCACCCTGCGTGAAAAAACATCCCAAAGTAACAAAACGACTTCTGGAGCCTTTTGAGCCTTTAGGAGACAAAGGAAGTAAAGGAAAAACTGAATAAACAAGAGTTCTGCACCAAGCACCACTAACATTATGGAAAACGATGTTCCTGCATTCATATAGATCTCGAACACAACCAGAATCTGTGTCTTAGCAGCTGATCTGACTCACAATAAACACAATTCACAGGCTATTGCCCAAAAAACTACAAATATTACACTAAAATCTGACAAATACTGTAGGGGGAGCAGCAGGTCTTGTGAACTGTGGATGGACAGAAACAGACGGTCCTTCAGCCGGATGAGCTAAAAGATGGTTCCTGAGGCTCCTCACCTTAAGAGAAAACAAGCATATTTCCCTCCTGCATGCTTTTACTCTATAATCATTTTTATCAACAAGTCCCAGAGTGTAAAAAGAACAATGACTGAAATTACATTCAGAGTGAAGACCAACAAGACCGCACACTGAGGTTACTGCACTGCCACATAGATGATGCAGCAGCATTTTTATGCATTGGCAACGCATCCCATCAAATGCATCAAAAGTAAACGTTTTCTATTGGAAATGGAGGTGAATGCATTTATTACATACATACTGTGTAATGCAATGAATAATATTTCCAGGCTTGCCTACATGCTGCTCTACAGCCCATTAACACACTCCTAGCAGCAGTAACACTGAATACATTTGTCTGTGAATGAAAGCCAACGAAGTGTACATGAAACGGTTTGATATTTATAACCACTACGGACGCTAATCATGACACAAGTATTACATTATATTCTGAAAATACTAAAGAATCACTGATATTATGTAGCAGTTGCCACAGAGGTTCCACATATATTGATACGTATATTATGGACTTGTATACAATGTACATGACTAGTAACTCGACATATTGCTTAAGTTTTCACTGCAGCATAATTTGACATATGGTTACTTTTTGATGCACAATGTGTACATATGACATGTTTACAATATCTTTTTATGGTGTGCACCATTAAAACAGACCTGATTTTGAATATCAGTGCTGCTTGTAAGATGTGTCAGCAGGCCCACTCAGAAAGAAAAGATCACACCAAGTCTTGTCTTCTTTGAATTCCTATAGTGCAACCGGCCCCGGGAGGCAAAGGTCTTCTGTGTATACATCGCAGTAAAAGTGTCGGGGTGAACAATAACGAGGCATGCCGAAAGCCACGAGAACCTTCCGACAGGATGTCTCATTTCAACTTTAGGTGACGCACAGCGCGGAGGGAAAAACTCATTTGTATACATGGAGAAGATGATGATGAGGGGTAGAAGCTAGGAGGAAAGATGATGTCACCGGGTCAATAATATGGAACAAAGAATTAATGAATGATTAGATGAAGCAGGATGTGAAAGCAGACAAAGATGAGCCATCTGTTCAATACTGACAAATCGCTTTGGAATGAAACAGCGTTATCAGTGTGCCACACCAGCACAGATGAAGGGCCCTCTACCCACAGCTTCCATCAACATAACAAAATGCAGCGTTTACGCACTGGCTATGCAAATTGGCCCATTAAAAAAAGGGTACATCACAGCGTCGCCCAAATAATTACAGACACTCAAGACCGGGGTAATGATTGATTCCTGTGGGACTTTAATGTGACACTTCGAGGCAGGCAACATCATTTACCTTTGAAAGATTTTTTTTTAAATTAAGACATTAAAGGACAGATCACAGAAATTAGAAATTCAATGTGTTTCATTTTCACTCACAGAAATATGGAATCATCCTCACGATGAAAGTCATGAGGCCCAAGAATTGGAAACAATAGAAAGTTCACGCGATGCTCAGTGGGAGTTCTGGGAAGGAAGACTGGTGAGGGACACTAATCATCCGATCAAACTCAACAGACACGAAACTTTGAAAAGGTAATTTATATCCATCATCCTGACACGACAAGAGCTCCCAAAATAACAAACGGTAGTGAGTTACGAGTTTGAGCTTAGAAATCTAATTGGCTCTGCAACAACGGTAAACTTAAAGGCCACTTCTATTACAGTAGAAGATGAGGAGAGATGGAAACTTAAAGGCTACAGTGCCACTCAGTCCTCTTTTAATAGCAAAGTGATAATTGGAAATGTACTAGGACAGGAGATAATGTCAAGGCGCAGAGCAGTATCAGAGACAAGAAGGATATGGAAGTGGAGATATGATTTCCTGCCAAGAGGATGATGTGAAGTGCTTCATAATGAGATGGGGTTAAGTATATTGTGAGAATGGGGACTGACACAGATGGGCTGTCTCAAACTCAAAGGTCTCTCTTACATTAATAACAGTTGAGAAAAACGTTACTCCAAGTGTCATTGACCTGATGTGTTGAGGAGAGGCCAGAGCACAATGAAGCGACACCTTAGTACGCCAGCGCCGGGGTCAGCTCAAGGACGATTTGCATTTACTAAGCAGTAGAATGAAGCAAGATAGCTGTCAGGTTTAAGGTACTTAATCCACTTGCAAAGACTTTCCAGCAGGCTTCTATCAGTCGAACAACCGTGACTGACTGAGCCATTTGCAAACACTCCATCTGTCCAAATGACCAACACTATTCGCCCATCACTGTGTATTAATACTTGTAATCATGCTAGGATCTCTTTGGATAGCAATGCAGTTTTTTAAGGCTTATCAGCAACAATTCACCGGGTTGACTAGTTGGCTAGACCAGGGATTGACCCACCTGGTGATCATCAAGAGGGCGCATTTGCTATCCGATCTTTATGTGATGACGTATGACCTCGCTCAAATGAACACCTAGAGAAGGTTTTAGATTTAGAGCTTCAGTGGAGATCAGTAGAGACTTGGAGAATCCATGCTGAGGTGTCCATGTGGGCTGTCTGTTAATCTTATTATGAGGCTAAAAGGGCTTGTCAGCCTCGTTAGCCTTTTTTTGAGGCGATCATGTGAAAACGCTACTGAAGGTCACTAGAGCAGCACTAGCACAAAAAATGTGTGTGGTTAAATGTTTTGAAAATGTTTCCTTATAATTCTGTGATAGTCAGCAGCATATTTATATATCAAATATCAGCAGTGATAATCCTGCCAGAAGTTTAGACAAGGTCAGTCATTCAGGAGATAATTAGATACCAATGAAATTGTTTAGATCAATCAAGCCATTTACTCTAGGAAAATAACTCCCGTCTCTGCAGCTGTTAACGTGACTCACAGCCCTACTCGCTGTCATATAACCACACTATCACAAGCCACTTCATTAGGTACACTTTGCTAGTATCTGATTGGACCCCCTTTTACCTTCCGAACTTCCATAATTGTTTGCGCCATGGATTCAGCAAGACACGGGAAACATTCCTCTGAGATTCTGCTTCATGTCGACATGACAGCATCACACATTTGCTGCAGATTTGTCAGCTGTGTATCCATAATGGAAACCTGTTTCATCATATCCCCGAGTAAAACTGCTGACGCCAACGACTGTGCCTCTTTTAAATCACCATTTTTTCCCCCAATCTGATGCTCAGCGGGTCATCTTAACCATGTCTACATACCTAAAGGTGTTGAGTTACTGCCATGCGATTGGCTGATTGGATGTTTGCACTACAAGCAAGCAGCAGAACAGGCATGCCTTATAAAGTTTAGCAGTGAGAGTATATCCTTTATGACTGTAACCTGTAAAAGTCTACTTCTCAGAGCTCATTTTAATTAAATGAGGAAAAAAAGGTGAAGTATCTCTCTCCCCTGAAATGAACAGAGCACAACAAAAGAGGCCATCGCAAGGACGAGCTTTCACATGCCAATTTGTGACTTGGTGTTAAGCACGTCATTACCTATGCGGGCTGTTTTTATCCACTACTGAGGAGTGCAGTTAATTAGGCTGGATAGAATGGGTTTTGGTTCTGTTTAATTACATCTGAGCTCAATAAAAGCACATTTAGGGCTGTGATGAAACCCAGTGGCTGCAAACATGAGAATATTAACTCTTTTCATTTAGATTCACTTTGGATCATGTGAGGTTCTCTAGTCTAGAGCATTATTTTTCCATCTGTTTGCTGACAGTTTATGCTAGATGTGTTTACAAAAAAACCAAAAACAAAACACATATTGACCGGTTTGATTAGATTATGGGGAAAGCCTCTCATCAAACATAGCTGTAGGCAGCATTACTGAAAACCTTGGCTAAATGGTGAAAGAGTTGGATTCAAATTAAATTACGTCTCAGTCACTGTGGGTGGGAGTATGCTTTTGAGTAAAGAGCAGTTCAGTCTGTTAAAGAAACACGCTTTATTTCAAGTTTAAAGAAATAACAGTGAGAGTTGGAAATGATACAAGTGGACAGAAAATGACTTCAAACTTGTATTAAAAACCGAACGACGGTAGTAATGTGATTGTTTTTATGGTGCTTTTATATTGACAAAGCCCAAAGTGCTTTCTCTAAAGCTCACTTTAAAATGCCACAAACAGCCTACAGTTTTATTATGCATGAACACGTCTGAATATTTAGTAAAAGTGTCGACGCAAGCAAGAATAGAGCGAATGTTTTGAACAAAACAAGCTGTGAAGAACAGAACAAAAAACAGAAAGGCTGTAACAAGAAAAAAATGTCCCTGAGGCCAAGGTGTAGGAGATCCACGCTGTCGAGCGCTTTTAACGCATCCCTCCAAACATATCGTGCTTCAAAGACTTTTAGGACAGTACTTTCTCTCAAACTGAGCCACGTTAAACTTCCGAAGGCAGCCTTTGTAGTTCATGTAGCGGATCTTCCCGAATACGGCTCTCTCCGCCCAGCCCTGGTCGTGGATGCCGCAAATAGACCACATACAACCTACGAGACCAAAATGCAGCAGAGTGTGTGAGAGTGTGGGAGAAAACGAATGCATATTTGATCAAATAAGTCCAAATAAATCCGTTCTTACCGACAAAGCCGTTAGGGTCTTGACCATCCAGCTCGTAGCGATCGTTTAGGTACAGAGCGATGGAGAGCGCCTCCTCTGGGGAAGAAGTCCACTCCAGGATCTTTTTGGCCCAGTACATCCTCAAGAAACCGTGCATCTTCCCCTCTGTAACCATCTGGTACTAATGGTGGTGATGCAGCAGTTAGAAAAAGCACAACATGGACCGAATGTGTTCAAACATTTCATTTTAGACTGAACGTTGTACCTGAGCTGCGTTCCACAGCTTGTCATGAGTCTTTGCTTTCTCCAGCTGCTCACGCGTGTAGAGATACGGCCTCTCGTCTTTGGCATGATCTTTTAAGGTCTTCTGAGCCCACTCATACGCACCTATGAGACGCAGACGCAAATATATTTAAACAAAAACACTTGTGAAGCTGAATAACTTCTATTCAACTAAATTTGCTTGCGATTCATCCGACTGACGTCACAGCAGTCGACAGGATGCAATTTTAATGAGGTCTCCACTGACCCTCCACGCTGTCGTATTTCTTGTTGTAGAAACAGAAGTTGTCAGTCAGCTCTCGACGCACCACCAGCTCTTCGATGAAGGCCGGTACGGACTGACTTGCATTCTTCCCGTTGCGCTGAACCTGCCAAGCCACACGCTGGGCCGAAATCTGGCCTAAAAGGACCAGGAAGACAAAAAGGCAGATATGGAGAGGAGAAGCAATTAAAATGTCTTTCCCGGTTCAGAGAACGTGCGGCAATCTTTCAGAGCTAAACTGTTCTGTGATGTGGTGCCACGGTTGCTCTCTTTGAACTTGTAAAGATGTTCAGTGTCTGCGGAGCCGTGAAGGAAAGGCATTAATATTCAAAACACAGGCGTGCTGATGCCTTCTGGATGTCCGAGATAACCGGACCAATAAAAGTTGTGAGTATAACTGCTGTCTTAAGCAATGAACTCAAGGGGGAGGTCATATGGGAAGTGTGTAGGACACTTTTATCATTTAGGGACATAATTTTAAACCATCTATAAAAGCAACACTCTGAACTCACCCACATTATCAAAAGTCTCAAGGAGATCTACAAAGAAGGCAGTCAAGTTTTTCTTGAAGAGGATTACAGCAGTTATTGCGCGATGAACAGACTGAACAGAACACCAAGATGCTATTAAGGATTCTTCTCCAGATGTACTGCACTAAAGTCTTAAGCCACCTGTCATGTATTCATATTTTGCTTCCAAGTAGCCAGACTTTCTTGTTATTTTTAAAGTGGTCCTAACTCAAGGGATGAACCAGTGTTTGGTCTGCGCATAACAGACAACTTAGTAAGGAACCAACTTTAAATTGTATCTTTAGGCACTTTGCAACTAGCAGCCTGTCAGAAAACACATTTGTTCCCATTTATTTTGTTAAATCTACAAAAAATATGCCAATTCTGTCATTGTTTGACAGGCATAAAAAAAAAAAAATAGTATTTTTGCACCAGCAACATGATTCCTAAAAAGCTTTTAGCTCCAAACTAGTCATATCTTGTGCAGTGTGTCCTTAAGACATTTTGAAGAAACTGGACAAGTGCAGGACAAAAGCAGAATTGGCAGGACTAATCAACTAGAGCATATGAATAATATTAGAGAGTCATGTCCTTAAGAAAACTCTTTTTTTTAAATTCAGAGTTTTACACAGAATACTGACCAAAGCGGAGCCAGGGGGAAAGCTGGCTCAGGGCGGGAGCGTTCGGGTCGTTGCGTTGGCTGCCAAACAGTTTAAGTCGTACATCAATGAAGGACTCCAGCATGTCCATCCCTGCTTTGGTGCCCGGCTTGGCCCATTCTGGCTCTTTTACATTTCTGTCAACATCCAGGGAGGCTAGGGTTTTGTCCCAGTCTACTCCCTGTGAGGTAAAGAAGCGAGAAAGGAGAAAAGATCAGTCGCAGCTGAGAGGGATGAGTTTAAACATATACAGTGGTGCTACAGAGATCTGACAACTTCAAAAGCAAAGGAGAAAATTCTTCTTCTTTTTTATCCAGCTAGAAAAATATCAAGTGGGGGGGGTGTCAAACCGTGTGTAGCATATCAATCTCAACCCTGGAGCAAAAGCACATACCCCTGCAGCTTTAATAACTACTACAAGGGGAAAAGAGAGCTTTAACTTTTGGACAGTAAAAAAAAAAATTCCAGTTTATACCGAGTCATCAATAAATAATGTGTGGAAGTGAGGATAGAGTTGAAGGGTAAAAGTGTGTGCTTTCTGGCAGCAGCTCGACTTCCAGGCTCCCCGTCGATGAGCCTCCCTGACAGCTTACTTGCCTCGCAATTGATTTTAGAACAACAACCCCAAAGCAATGAATAATTTCATGACCTCTAGAAGATAAATTGTAATTGTTTACCAACTGATCCAAAAGTCTTTGAACTCACTATAAATTATAAATACGCCGCTTTTATTCTCAGTACATTCAACATTTATTCACTTCACCGTTTCTCGAGCGCTTACTTTGGCGGTTCTCGTAGCAGTGTGTGGGTGTGAGTCTACCAGGGGAAAATCAGTGAGGAACTCTGGTAACAGATTGGTAATTTTTCCTCTGATCGTCCGAGCGGAGTACTCCTGTTTAGGTGAAGCTACCCAGCAGGGAACAATATTGTGGGCATCAACCTATAAAAGGAAAATAGAGTGTTCAAGAAATAATGATAGGAAAAACAAAGTCAATACGCATGAAATGAGAATGAGGTCTGCTGCATCAGTTTTCATACCTATTACTTTGGAATCAGGGGAACAAATAAAGAGAGAAAACAGCCTGGGGACAGACAATAACCAGGATACAGAGCATCCTATCAGCACACACCTCCTGCAAATTGGATTTCAGAAAGTGAGGGGTTTTTTTCATACCTGTATGAAGGGAATGTCTTTGGAAAGTTTCTTTTTGACGTCCTCCAACCACTGCAGCGGCTCTCTGATAGGAGAGAAGTCTGTCACCACGGCCCCAAAGCTGTGGTCGGACACAAAGCCGGGGAGAACTTTCCCCGGAGCGCCGTGCAGCAAGTGGAACTGGACGTTTAACTGTTCACATTCCTGTTATATGGGCAGAAGAGCAAGAGTGAGGCTGGTTCACTGATGATGTACCTGCAACTACAACTAGACTCAAACAAGAGCAATTCCTCTGGTCTGGTGTAGTACTGCACAATATACGAAATATTTCTCATATAACAATAGATACAAGTTTCTATCACAAAGATCCTTTTATTAAGCTCTGTTTATAAAACAATGCATTTTAAATTGCTCCTGTAAAACAAGAAGCACTCAGAGAGCTCCCCCCCCCCCCCTGTGCAGTATTTACTTTAAAAGAATAGTATTATATTCACTATATGTTCATTTTGATGTTTGTACCTTTGCAACTTCTTCCAGCCCCTTCAGCATGAAGCTGTAATGTCTCAGAGTAGACAGCTCTGATTTGGGCACTACCAAACAGAAACAGACATGCAGAGGGAGGTTCTCCTTCACGGCGAGCCGCTGGGCATGGATCAGTGCCCAGTTATCTAAACACACAGAGGGAATGCGCACATACGTCATGAGAACAGACAGTGAGAAAATGCAAACCAAACAGAGGCTGCGCCATTGCTGCACTGCTGGCTCTGCTTTGATGGGTCACCTTGTACTCTCTGATCTCTTAACATCCAGTAGAGGACACCCTCTGAGCCCTGCTTTATCTTTTCAGTATCAGATAGAAAACGCAGGCGCTTTTTGTTGAACTTCACGTCTTTCTTCTCTGATCTCTGCTGCTGCACAAGACTCTGCAGCCAGCCCCCAACTTTCTCCTTCTTCTCCTGCTTGACGGGAGCCAGCTTCTGCTGCTTGGCACGGTGATCCTTTCCAGCCGTTGCAGAAGATGCCTTGCGTTTCGTGCCTGACATGGTGGGCTGGCAGCTGAAGAAACTGGTCAGGAAGAAGAGTGCGGGGCTGCTGGGCCTCTGATGATGGTGAGGAAGAAGCTTTAAGAAGCGCCCTGGTGCAGAAAAAGGTGATGTGCTGCAGGAAATCGAATAGAAACAGCGAAACTCAAAATTCAAGAGTTTTTGCAGATGTGAGCAAAACAGTTACAGACTGGAAAACTTTCTATGAACAAAGCGACACTGCAAACTACAAGAACTCAGTCAACGGGGAAGCTCAATTAAACGTGTTTATAGTGATTCCTTCTACGGACACATACCTCCTCCAAACACAGTGCAGCATACAGGGTGGGAAGCTTCAACTGATGCAGGCTCCGCTCGAGTGGACAACAAAACGTGAAATTAAACGAATAAACAACAGACTGAGTAGCCGTCGTGACAGCAGCAGCCAGGCGTCTGAAACCCGCGGCGTTTTCTCTTACACAACCACTTACATGAGCGCGCTGGTCCGGGTTTTGTAACGCTGTGTTTTCATTGAATTGAAATACACTTCCCACAGTGCATGTCTGTCACGTCTTCACGGGGCATGCGCGGCAGAGGCGGTTTGTGTCTGTTCTAGCGTATACAGGAAAGGAGCGGATAGCTAGCACGGCTGCTAACTACATTTCTGTGTCCACTTGGGTTGTTCGCTGTGGTTTGAAGTATGAGCATGGGGGATTTCACAGCAGACCGAGGGAAAAGGACACCTATACCGGATAAAGTCGACATGTCCTTGGGTAAGGCCCTCACACAGCTATGAGCAACGTTACTAAAATAGATTGCAAGCTAATAATACTAGCACCTAACTACTGGGAGGTCGCCAGTAGCTAGCTAGGCTAGACAGGCAGCACTTGTCAGAGGGCTCGCAGATGTTGATCACTGCTCGTGTGATGATTTTAACAGATGACATTATTCGGCTGAACAAAAAAGAGCAACAGTTAAGGAGACAGGCCAATGTGAACCGCCGACCAGTGAAGAAGAAAGGCCGCTTAATCCAAGGAAAGGGAGTTTCACAGAGGACTGCAGGACCAGCCCAGAGAGGTGTGTTCGCTTACGTTTTCTCAGTTATTATTAGCTTCATAGGTATGCTTCTCTTTTTCACCCCAGTTGAAACAAGTGTGTTTATCTAATGTCGCTATTCCAATACTTACCAGGAGGTGGCATTCCCCGAGGAGGAGGTCCCAAATTGAGAAACAGAAAGGTCCCACCAATAGTGGCTCGGAGACGGGGTCAGGGGGTCATCACGGGACTGGCGGCCAGGAGACCAGCGGCTCTGCTGAAGCGAGCCGGCACACTGAACAGATCAGCATTCAACCAGGTACTGGAGGACTGCACTGGAGGAGACATGAGCTATAGTCCATAATACTGCCCTGCCATCTTAACTGGCAAGCGCAGACCGTATTGTGGTTTTATTAAAGCGTGGGAATCACTCCAGCTTTTGAGACCTTATTAGGGGGCAAAACACTGAGAAACCAGACCTGGAACACATACAGCTTTAATGGAGCCATGCTGGAAAATGACACTACACCTTCATAAAGCAATGCTGGAATAATTCATCAACTTAAGTCCTGCTAGTATTAGTTGTAAATCATATTCAAAGTACTTCTAAAGTAGACAAAAATATATAAATCTCTTAAAATTTGGTTCCATTTATTATGTTTTCCTAAAGTCAGTATAGCTTGTTGAATGTACCAGTAGGCCCACTTTCATCACAACCAGAGGTAGCTATTTTTCCCAATCTTGTCGCCTGGCAACAGACATCAGCATCTCTTGCATGTTGTCCAGGAACGTCAAACTTTCTTCGTTAGCCGTGTCCCCTGTGGTTGTTTGACCTGTTTAAATGCTGTTCCAGAGTGTTTCTCAAGAGGGATATCGTGCTCAGGAGCTAGCACACTTTGAAAGTTCAGAAATGTTTTAGTTCATTTTAGTTATTTCACATGATCGCTGCATCGATTGGTAGAAATCATTTTGCCTGTTTTAAGGTATACAAAAGTCAGAGAAGTTCCTGCGTTAGCATCGCTTTACAATATGTACACATGCAAAATTAAATTTCTGCCAAGTACTACTACTTTCTACCACAACCTCCATGAAATCAGGATGCTGTGTGGTCCCCAGTGTGGGCCAAAAACCTAAATGTGAAGGAAACTGCCTACTTTTCACAAAGTGTCCCCGTGTGTGAGACCAGACACTTTATGTTGGAGCTCTGGGAGTGCAGACGTGAATCAAGGATATAATTTGGTTCCCGATAATGAAAATATGGAAGGTTAAAGTTAACAATCTTTCTTATATTATGCTTTTGTCAAACAGAAAGTTTACAAACAGAGCACGTATATTAAGATCAAATGGAGAAAGAAATATTCTTTTTGAGTCACAATTAATTACCAAAATCCTGGTGAAAAAATACATCCAAATCTGATCTCTTTCATAGCGAAATTCAACAAATAAACACCTCATTTGACATGCACAGACAAAGTATTGGCACCCTTCCTGATTCCCCCCCTCCCCATTTTTGTTACAGTTAAATTAGATAATCAAACACATTTTAATATTAGACAGAGATAACCTGAGTGAATACAAAATGCAGCTTTAAAATGATGATTATTTGTTACGGGAAAAAAAACTAACTGGCTCGGGTGTGGAAAAAGTAATTGGCCCTTAAACCTAATAACTGGTTGTGCCACCATTGGAAGCAAAATCTACAATCAAATGTTTGTGATCACTGGTAATGAGTCTTTCACATCGCTGTGGCTCTTTGTAGGTTTTTACGTTTTTTTATATTTAACCACATTGGAGGGTCTTTGAGCCAGAACAGCCCATTTAAGGTCGTGCCAGAGCTTCTCAGTCTGATTTCAGTCCAGATTTGAGGATGCCAGTACACTGAGAATGATTTTTCGAGCCATTCAGAGGTGGAACTTTCTGGTATCTTTCCGATCACTGTCCTGCTGCAGAACCTAAGTCAGGGGTAGGCAGCTCCAGGCCTCGAGGGCCAGTGTCCTGTAGGTTTTAGACGTGTCCTTGATTTAACACAGCTAATTTAAATGGCTAAATTACCTCCTCAACATGTCTTGAAGTTCTACAGAGGCCTGGTGATGAACTAATCATTTGATTTGGGTATGATGACCCAGGGTGATATCTAAAACCTGCAGGATACAGGCATTTGAGGCCTAGAGTTGCCCACCCCTGACCTAATTGAAAGCAGAATTCCTGGTTCCATCAGTTGCATTAAGTCATCCATGCACTAAAGTAGCAAAGCAGTCCGAGACGGTCACACTACCACCGCCATGTTTGACTGTTAGTATGATGTTCTTAATGAAATACTGTGTTAGTTTTTTAGACTAAAACCTTCCACATGATATTTTGGTCCCTGAAAGTCCATTACTTTTTCACACAGGAAGGTTTGGATAGCTTTTCCCCTTAATAAAAAACTATTTTCAGGATAGTATCGTCTTCTGAAGTGAAAAAGCAGTCCCATATTTTAGCGAACTTTTTCCACCTGATGTTACACAGAATCGCTTACTAACAACTAGTGTCTCGCTGTAAATAATTCCTCCTTTGAGTAAGTCTGCTGTACTTGAAAGTTCATGCCGTTCACGTCTTTTTTCAGAAAACAAGACAGAAAACAAGGCCCTTCTTTCAGCGCACTGAAACCCAGTACAGGAAGCCGGAGGTACAGAGGCGGCTGTACAGGCAGCCAGATCAACAGAGAGGCCCAAACGCCCCGTCAGTCAGGAGGCCTTTTCAACTGCGGCGACGGTGAGAATGTTTGCTTTTTATCACTCATTATGATTTCAGCTCTAGAGGAGGAGAGACCGATGTTATTCAGCTTTGATTCACCTACATAGTTTACACAGCTAGATTTTTTTTATTTGATTTGTGCTCTGTTAATGCCAGACCGCTGCCGCCTGTCCAGCAGACTCAGAGGGAAGCACGACAGGCCACGTTTCTTTTTCGCAGGGGACTCAAGGTATCTGAGAGGTTACGTAGTGTGTTTGTTGTCTAAATCAAACCAGCAGTGAAGCTGGTCTTCGTGGCCATGTGGACTCTTCTCATTCTGCTTGTGCTTCATGTGTTTTAACAGGTACAAGCCCAAGTGCAGAAGCCAACTCCCCGCACACCTCCAGTCAGAACACGCCAGTGAGTATACTTCTGACAACCTGCGTTGTATGTTCATATGTGAGGAAGAGGAACTCGCACTGAGGATGTGAATCATTTAGAAGGGAAAGGGCACCGTTGTTGTCCGTTTTTGGGGTCTGTGTCTGTTTGTGTAACACGAGGCACCTTTTCCATTTGTCCAACAGGTGGCGCACATCGACAGCCAGCAGTGGAATCCTGACTGTTTCAATAGACAACCCCACAGCCAGGACACAGCCTGAGTAAGTACTCAGCAGGATCTCTGCAGTACACACTGATTTTAGACCTCGCTGTGAATGAAATGAGGGTTTTCGCTTGCTGTGGAAGAACTTCAGACGATCCAAAACGCTGCAGCAAGAGTATTAATGGGGAATAGCTTCGCTCTATTGGCTCTGGTTTAATCCATGACTGAGTTTCAAATCCTTCCCTTTAGGCTTGCTCATGGTTTCCAAAAGTAGAATAGGAGGCAGAGCCTTCAGCTATCACCTCTGCTGTGGAACCAGCTCCCAGTTTGGATTTAGGAGCCAGACAGTACTTTAAGTTTAAACTTGCCTTTTTGGTAAAGCCTATAGGGCTGGATCAGGTGCCTCTGGGCGACTTTCCATGATGCACTGAGCTTTTCTCCTCAACTCCACCTCTTTTCTCTTCCTATATGTCTCTATGCCATTATTAAATGTCACCCACTCTCCTGTAGTATCTAGTTTGCACTATTTGTTTGTGTCTTTCCCCTTGCTGAAGGATGTCCTCCTGTCGACAGAAGGTAGTTCTTCCTTTTGTCTGACTGTCTTTGTGCCTTGTACTTAGGCCCCCAACAGCTTGGACCCTGCATCCCCCTGCTGCCAGTGTTGCCCCCGTGAAGATGGAAACGGTGGAGAAGAAGATACCAAAAGGAGTGCCTCTGCAGTTTGACATCAACAGTGTTGGAAAACCGGTGAGAGTGTGCTTGAGTGTCGTCTAATCCACAGATATAGGACAGTTTTCATTCCAGTGTTGTAACCTCGGACCTTTCTCCCCACAGCAAACGTCGATGACTCTGAACGAGCGATTCCGCATCCTAAAAGACCGACGCTCTGCCACAGCTCAGAGCAGTAAAGGCAGCAGATTCGTCACCGTTGGTTAGCTGACCGGAAGGAAGACACAGATGATACTCAAACGCTCCTCTGTCCTGCTCAGACTCACACGGCGAACCCCACCTCTCTGATGGAGCGGACAGTGCAGACCCCAATGCCTCGCTCTGCTAATTGGAGGGAAGGCAAAAAGCCACAGGACAAACAAGGATGATGTGCACAACTGTGAGGACTTGAGTGTGAAAGAGTTTGTTGTAAAAGAAGCCCCCAATCATTGTTCATATCATTGTCCTCAGCTGTTTGTGTTGTGGACGTTCTGTACTGGAAATGACTGAGCCCCCCCCCATTTGGTCTTGGGACATTTGACACTAATCAAAGTTGGCTTCAGAGTATTTCTTTTCAGAATGGACCTCTATGCATTTGCTAGAATGGCACGTATGTTCTCTTCACCTTTTTTGACATTTTTGAGAGTTGTTTTGTAATGTTTCTTTAAATAAATGGGTTTCTCTTTAAAGACTATTACAGCTTCTGATTGGTGGGTAGCACACTAATGCCCGACAAGACTCCCTGATATCATTGTGTTGGTGTTCTTGCTTCAGAAATTGTAGCTGTTGTTGCCATAACTACTTATATCTAACTCATATCTACAACTGACCAGTGAAGTTGAAGCCGTTGCTTAAATGCATAAGGAAGTCGGTGAGGTAGCATAAAGCAGAGAACTGGACCATCATATGACACATATGAGTTCAAGTCCTGATTTATTTAACTCTTTCGCCAACATGATGCTGGTGGAGGTCATTAGTGAACCTGCTCACATTTGGACAGGTTTGGGAACTATTACAGTGCAGTTCCCAATTTTATTTGTATACTGCAAATACTTCAAGATGGTACAATAGCAGCAGAAACCCTAACAACCAGGTGAGTAAGTACATGTTGACAGGAAGGAAGGAAGAATTCACTTTTACCAGAAAGGAAACCTCCGGCAGAACCAGGCTCGTGAAGCTGCAGCCATCTGCCGTGTCCAGTTGGTGGATGAGTGGGAAGAAAAGACCTCAGACCTTTACCACTCACATTCTAACTTTGGGTTAAGGTATTTTGTCAAGTTGTGCATGTGACAGGTTTTTGCTTTGTTTTTATTTCTTTGGTGAACATGCACGCCCACTGAAAGGACTTGAAAAACATTGGTAATGGACTTTTTACTATAATAATTCTAGTTTAATATTTGTGTTAATTTTCAAGGATTTTTTTTTTTTTAGCAGTTTGGTTTGAAAAAACTATAACCAACCGGGATAATACACTTTTGCAACATTTACCACATTACAAAATCTTTTTAAAAGCCCCAAAAAGAACATCATTCTCTTGATGAGCTTCATGAGGTCATTGCCTGAAATGGTTTTCCAACAGTCTTACTGGAGTGCCCAGAGATGCTGAGCACTTGTTGGCTCTTTTGCCTTCACTCTGCGGTCCAGCTCATGCCAAACCATCTTGATTAGGTTTAGGTCATGTGACTGTGGAGGCCAGGCCATACGGCGCAGCACTCAGTCACTCTCCTTCTTGGTCAAATAGCCCTTACACAGCCTGGAGGTGTGTTTGGGGTCAGTGTCCTGTTGAGAAATAAATGATGGTCAAACTAAATGCAAACCGGATGAGATGGCATGTCACTGCAGGACGCTGTGGTAGCCATGCTGGTTCAGTGTGTCTTTAATTTTGAAGAAATCCCCCAACAGCAAAGCACCATCACACCTCCTCCTCCATGCTTCACGATGGGAACCGTGCATGTAGAGAATATCTATTCACCTTTTCTACATTGCACAATGACATGGTGGGTGGAACCAAAGATTTTAAACTTGGACTAATTTCCAAAGCACAGATTTCCACTGGTCCAGTGACCATTCCTTGTGTTTCTCGGCCCAAACAAATCTCTTCTCCTTGTTCCTTTTCCTTAGTAGTGGTTTCTCAGCAGCTCTTTGACCATTTGTTTTTACTCGGCCCTGAAAATCTTAGAAATATGGTATCCAACCAGATTCTTACTCTGGATGGCATTACCTTGGCCCCCAGTAACACTGTGAGGAACCTTGGAGTCATTTTTGACCAGGACATGTCCTTCAA